CAGCCACATACACCTGAGCTGGTGGGTTCAAATCCAGCCTGGGCCCGCCAAACAACAATGATGGCTGCAACCAAAAAATAGCCAGACATTGTGGTGGGCACCTGTGGTCCCAGCCACCTGGGAGGTGGAGGCAGGAGAATCGCCTGAGCCCAGGAGTTGGAGGTTGCTGTGAGCTGTGATGCCATAGCACTCTACCCAGGGCCACAGCTTGAAGCTCTATCTCAAAAAAAAAAAAAGTAATTTTATCCTTTAAGACTTGCTTTTAATTGTCACAGGGCAAGACCAAAAGTCTTTAGTCTAGAACTAATATGGTTCCACTCTTGAAGAAATACCTTCTGAGTGTTCTATCTGATCATTTGTGTATTGCAACATTTTTTGACTCTGGCCAGTAGGAACACCAATTATTCTCTGCAATGCATGTGCTTTAATGATTATTCTGCCTCTATCTCTGCAGGATTATTGCCCTGCACTGCCTTTTGTCCAATATCTGAGAACCATTATTTCTTATATACTTTAAATTTTTTGAATTGTTTAAGGCAGGAGACTAAATTAAACTCCTGTTACTCCACCATTACATTAATAGCACTCCAATTTTTTCATGGATTTGTTTGCTTGCCTCCCGTGTTATACTATGATCTTCAAAGGGCAAAGATTTTGCATTGTTCTCTTTTATAATAATTCGCACTCAGCATAATACCTGGCTTATAGTAAATGCTGAGCTAATATTTTCTGAATAAATGTCAGAAGGAATTCAGGAGCTGAGGACTCTACATTTGGCAGAGATCTGTAGAACAGAAACTTGGAGGGTAAGTCTGTTTTTAGTTTTAACAAGAACTGCTAAACTGTTTCCTAGAGCAGCTATAACATTTTACATTCTTACCACTAATGGATAAGTGATCCAGTTTCTCCACAACCTTACTAGCATTTGGTGTTATAACTATTTTTCATTTTAGCCATTCTGATAAGTATGTAGAGATAGCTCATTGTAGTTCTTTTTTGTTTGTTTGTTTGTTTGTTTGTTTGTTTGTTTTTGGCTGGGGCTGGGTTTGAACCCACCACCTCCAGCATATGGGGCGGCCCCCTACTCACTGAGCCACAGGCGCCACCCAGCTCATTGTAGTTTTAATTGCATTTCTTTAATGGCTAATGGTATTGACTATCCTTTCATGTGTTTATGAGAGATTTTATCTATTTTAGATACAAAGCCTTTGCCAGATATATGATATGCAAATATTTTTCCCAGTGTATAATTTGTCTTTCTCTCCTTCTAAAGGAGTTTTTTGCCAAACAAAAGTTTTTAATTTTGATAAGATCCGATTATCAATTTTCCCTCTTATAGATTGTATGATTGGCATCAAGTCTGATAACTCTTTCCCTAGTCCTAAGTCCTAAAGAGTCTTCTGTGTTTTTTTTCTGATAATTTTATAAGCTTATATTGTATTCATTTTAATTTCTGTTCCTGTATCCATTTAGGCCTCAAATCTCTTTAATATTTCCTTAGAGTGCTTTTTCTATTTTTGAATTTTATTTATAACTTCCCATTCCAATACAATCACTACCCAGGCATCCTTTTACATTGAAGTAGCATCGCATTTTTCAAAGAACAAAAGTATCTCCTCAACTGAGTGATTTTTCTTGATCCATAGGGACTGAGTCTAACTCATTGTCTATTTGCAGCTTATTAAATGAGGTGATGTACCTGGAGGAACAAACTGAAATGGCAGAGGACCAGGACCTTGACCCCAATCAGGGGGTTTACATTGAGGTAAGTTGGGAGGCTGGGGATTTCTGTTCCTCTTCTCTCCCCTTCTATTGTTCTGTAGGCTGAAACGAAGCAAAACCCATCCTATCATAGGGAGGAGTGCTCTCCAGTGGTCAGTTCTGAGCCCCTCTTTCCTGGGTAACACCATAGGAACAGTAGCAAAAAAATCCTAGACTTCTATTCTGCCCAGAAACTGGGTGAGACGAATACAATAGGTTTCTATCCTGTTGCTATCATAAGATAGGGATGAGGGCCTTATGGGAGAATTTCTTTTCTTCATCTTCATATTCCAGCACCTACCAGTACAGAGAAAACAGCCAGGGAATAAATATTTATTGAGAACTGCACCTTAGAATGCAGGAGATCTGGGCGGCGCCTGTGGCTCAGTGAGTAGGGTGCCGGCCCCATATAACGAGGGTGGCGGGTTCAAACCCAGCCCCGGCCAAACTGCAACAAAAAATAGCCAGACATTGTGGTGGGTGCCTGTAGTCCCAGCTACTTGGGAGGCTGAGGCAAGAGAATCGCCAAAGCCCAAGAGCTGGAGGTTGACGCCAGGGCATTCTACCCAGGGCGATGGAGTCTGTCTCTAAAAAAAAAAAAAAAACACAACACAGGAGATCTACTTGTGTTGTCCTTGAGGCCTTATGAAGAGTTCTTGTGTTGTTTTCATGGTCTCTGAAGTTTTCTTGGTGTTTTGTTTCCTCGCATTTCCTAGAGACTCTTTTCAGAGAAAGATTTAATTTCCCAATTTTCAATAGTCACAGAATATTGGAGCTCAAAGTTTGAAACACAAATTAGACTTCAAAGTTCTGGCTGATGGTTTTTCTGCTCTATGCTAAGTCAGGCCTTTGAAGAGCAGTCCTCGAAAAAAAGAAAAAAGTCGGTGTCTAGCTTCCTCTCACTGAAATCACCAGCCTCGGCTTGAACTCACCCCGAATTTTAAATTGTGTTTAAATTAAGCAAATTTTAGAAGAAGTAAAGGAGAACTGTCTCCTTTATTGTAGAAAAGTATTATTTATTTAGGCCCCTCGTGTGTTAAAAGTCATCTGTAGATCAGCACAGATTCATCCCCCGGGGGGAAAATTGCTTTTAACCATGAGATAGTCCAACATTTTGAGTCACAATCTCCTTTTGTGTGAGTTGAAAAGGATTTTTTCATCCTTGCACTTTGGAAATTGCTAACTATAAAACAGGGGAAAGGTCAAAGTCCAAGAATTGTTCCACTTTAGAACATTTCTTCCAAACTCAGGTGTGATCAGTACTACAAAGAGGTGGGTTCCCACAGAAAGTGGAGATGGGGTAGGAAAGGATGAATATCAGGAGACTGGAGAGAAGGATAGAGGAGCACAAGGACAAATGACAGTGGGATTTTTTTTTTTTAAGGAGGGACTTAGGATAATATGAACAGGGAAGGCATCACAGTGCACGTGGACATCCTCTATGCTAGAGATATGCAGCCTAGATACATACACATTGTAAAACCAAGCACGGGCTGAGAAGCAACCCAAATATTCACCAGCTGCCATGTGGACAAACTGCAGTGCATGTATACGATAGAATACTACTCAGCAATGAAAAGGAACACACTTCTGAAGCTCAGCTGTGTTATGCTAAGAGAAGGAAGCCAGATGCAGAAAGATACACGTGTCCTTTATGACTCCATTTATGTAACTCTCTGTCAAAAGTAAAACTGTAATGCTGGGCATGGGGACTCACGCCTGTGATTGTAGCATTCTTGGAGGCCAGGATGGTCAGATTGCTTGAGCTCAGGAGTTCCAGATCAGTAGAGACCCTGTCTCTACTAAAAATAGAAAACAATTATCTGGGTGTCAGGGTAGGTGCCTGTAGTCCCAGCTACTCGCGAGGCTGAGGCCAGAGTTTGTGGTTGAGGCTTGTCGCATGTAGCACAGTTGGTTATAGCTGGTTATGGCTTCAGCCATATACACTGAGGTTGGTGGGTTCGAACCCTGCCTGGGCCAGCTAAACAACAATCACAACTGCAACAAAAAAAATAGCTGGGCGTTGTGGTGGGTGCCTGTAGTCCCAGCTATTTGGGAGGCTGAGGCAAGCAAATCACTTAAGCTCAAGAGTTTGAGGTTTCTGTAAGCTATGACACCATGGCACTCTACTGAGGGCGACATAGTGAGACTCTGTCTCAAAACAAAAAAGTCTATGGTTGAATGGAGAAAGAGAAAGAAAGGAATTTTGGGAGGTGAGGGGAATATTTTATATCTCCTTGTAATGGTAAATAAGTATGCATTTGTCAAAATTGACCCAAAAGGTGAGTTTTGGGAGTCCAAGGCAGGTGGATCACTTGAGCTCATGAGTTGGAGACCAGCCTGAGCAGGAGTGAGACCCTGTCTCTAAAAATAGCTAGGCATTGTGATGGGTACCTGTGGTTCCAGCTACTTGGGAGGTGGCAAGAAGATTGCTTGAGCCCAAGAGTTTGAGGTTGCTATGAGCTATGGCACCATGGCACTCTACCAAGGGTAACAGAGTCAGACTGTCTCAACAAATATAAATAATTAAGTAAGTAAATGAATGGTGAGTTTCATGGTATGTAAATTGTACCTCAATAAATGTACCTTCAAAAGAAATGGCATAAGTTCTGTCCTCCATTAAGCCTGCAGGCTGATAGAAAAGGTTACATAGGCTCAGTGCCTGTGGCTCAAGCGGCTAAGGCGCCAGCCACATACACCTAAGGTGGCAGGTTCGATCCCCAGCCCGGGCCCGCCGAACAACAATGATGGCTGCAACCAAAAAATGGCCAGGCGTTGTGGTGGGCGCCTGTAGTCCCAGCTACTTGGGAGGCTGAGG